TTACTGAAACATCCCGTACTGAAAATTACATTTTATAAAAAGCTTTAAATTTTATTGAAATATAAAAAAAGACTTCTAAAACACATTTTTTGTATTTTGAAATTTTTCGAAAATTATGAACTTTTTGCAAAGAAGAGAAGATATATCGAAACTCAATTACGATTTTCGTAACTGCCTGTACCAAAAGCTAATCAGCGCGTCTCCCCATCAATACAAATCTAATATTTTTTGATTATTCAAGTCGATTTCAAGAACACGGATCAACCGATTTATGATTCAATTCCTATTGATAAGGAGACGTGTTGATTAGTTATTGGTCAAGGCAGGTCCAACTGTTTTGAAGATACGGGCCTAAATGCCAAAAATGATAATTCAGTTTTTGAGACAAACGCGTCCAATAATATTCAAAAAAATTTACAGAATAAATAACTGCTAAAATTTGTGGGGGGCAGGTTTAGCAGTTTCGATGATCCAATAAAAAAAATTGAAAAAGAAACATTTGGCGGGCAAAAGTGATTATAAGACATATGCACATTAAATTATCAGATATTTTAAAAATATTATAATAATAAGTATAAATTTTGTTTACATTTATATAAGTTCCGTAACATTGTTTATCCGTTAGATTGCGACTTGGCGCTTACGCGCGTCTATATTTTGACTCTAGCAGCTGAAGCAGCGCGATTGCTTTAAAAAAAAGTTCGAAAGTTCGTAAAATTTCAGGGGTGCCCCTGGGCGCCAAATTTCTAAATCCGGCCCTGCAAACACATACACACACACTTTCAAACACACGTCTAAATTATTGTGATAAAATTATATTCATAGTTGGAGAATCACTCCAATAAGTGAATTCACCAATATTCCACATACATCCAAAGATATGTTAGTGGTAAAGGTCTTCAATATTATCATTGGGCAGCTTCTTTTTCAGTCTTCTTGAAATTGGTATCTCAAGAAGCTGAGTGACTTTAAAATTTAAATGATGTTTTAGTTTTTGAAAATGTTAAATTCTGTTTATTTTTATAACTCTATTTATAAATTCAAGGTGTTATTGCATATGAACCATGGAGCATTAGTCGCACAATTATATGCCATAAGACCATATTGGTTTCATTACCACCTTGTAAATTAGTAGTTTATTGTCAATATATAGAATGATAGAATTGATTTGCGTCCCAAAAGTTTATGTTTAAAAATATGGTGACATCTTTTGTTGTCATCGTTATTTTCACCTGTATGGCAACACACTCTTTTTCACCAATCAATAAATAAATCAGTTGATATCATTCGAGCAGAGGGCTCAGTTTGCATTTGAGTGCGTTTGTTCCGCCAGTGCATTATTTCATTTTATTACATAAGACCGATGGAGGTTTCATTTATATTCGGAATTATTGACACATCAGTTCTGGTCATATTTTCTAAAATGTGTATTAACGTTGCTTTAGTTAAAAACAGTGATATTAGTTTATGTACATGGAAATATTATAGAAAAGGAGACTTGGTGAACACTTGGCATTTTAATAATTGATCATAAAGTATCATTATGCATCATTTGAGGTAAAATAATCATAATTTTTATAGTTTTGTTTAACATATTATAAATTTCGTTTCATATAATTTCACAAAAATGCACATTTGCAAATATTAAAAATTGGAATCATAGTTTTAGCATGCAAATCAAATTTTTCTGTTATATAGTTTTAGAAAAACGTGAATCAGTTTGAATAATATCAGATTATGTTATGTTATCTCAAAATGATCTGACCTTAACACTATAATAATATCACTACTCTTCGTATATCTATTGAATGTAGTAATATAGTTAGATTAAAAAAAAAACTGAAAAATTTATTATATTTTCTAATTAATAAACGCATTTTCTTTCAAGAAATGCATATTTCTTGCATTTGGACTATTTAGAACAAATTTTGGTAGTTTTATTTTTTCTACATTGCCCAGTTTGACACCTCTTATGGAGACAAATATCTATATCTATCAGTCTGATCTAATCTAATATCTATATCTTTATCAGTTTTTCACGGGTTTCTCGAAAATCGACGACCAGTTCTATTGCTTCAGTAAAAAACAATCCAGTAATCGAGATATCTATGCCAGCTAAAACAAGAATATTTAACAAAAAAACTTGAAAAAGCAATCCGCAAATTTAGATTTTGTAGCAAATTTTCTCGTCATTTTTCCGATTAATGCTTATCATTGCTTTACTGTAAGAGAACAATTACATATAATAACTGGTGTATGGCATCGTGCCTTAAGGCAAATTGCTGGAACTTCCCGTACCGTAACGAAATGTTCGAGGAACATTGAATGTTTTGAAATTGATTATTATAAATACTGTAACATTGTCTAATATTCATAAAAGTTATATAAACTGAATTACAAAGTTATAATTATTTGTTTAAAGTATATTAGAACTTTAGTCAGAATGAAAAATAAAATCTGAACTATTTTCGATATACAAAAAAGACAATTTCTTCAAAAAAAAAATTTGAAACAAAAATTTTTTTTCAAAAGCAATTATTTTGTTAAAACAAACGGAAAGCTCTTTGAATCATTCAAATCAGACGCTTAGTTCTCTCAAAAACTGTCATTTTTTGCACATTTAGCTCTGTATCTTCGAAATGGCTGGACCTGGCTTTGCCAAAAACTAGTCATCTCTTCTCCCAATGATTACACTTTGAACGTTTTTTAGATCATTCAAATCGTATACTCCGTTCTCTCAAAAACTCGATTTGTATTTTCTGCACTCTTTGCTCCGTATCTCCTTGACGGCTGGACCTGCCTTTGCCACAAACGAATCAGCACATTTCCCTGTCAATAGAAATCGAATGTTTTTTGAACCATTCAAATCGATGGATCCGTGCGCCCGAAAACGCGGAACAAAATGCGGACATACAAAACACACACACACATCCATTTTTTCTAAGGTATGCCAAAATGTTCAGAAACCTTCAAAACGTCGAGAAATACAAAAAATTTTATTTTCGATTTTCGGCCATTACTATAACTATCCTACGGGAAGTTAAAAATTAACGATAAAAATTGCTTCGTATCATCATTCTTTTGCTTTGTAATTAGTTGATTTTTTTTTGTTTTACCAAATAATATCAACTTACATCACACTTTAGGCAGAAATAGCCATATAACTGCCGGGTTTGCAACAATTTTGGCTATTTTTAATAAGAATTACAAAATCATAACAAAATCGACTGTTTTTAAACGTTGGTGCGATAAACAGCGCCACTGTGTGCGGGGCTCTCCCTAGCTCTATGAATGCAAAAATCGAAGAAGTGTAACGTCTATGTGATATTACGTATTGTCTACGGTAATAGTTATTCTTTGACAGCTGATGAGATGATTGTTTTGACATTTTATTTTGGACATAAGTCTGATAATAAATATTTATTGCATAATTTATTATACAAGTATTTTTAAATTCAAAAATGATCCGTGTCTATTGTAAATGTTTGTTTAAAGAAGTTTATTGTATCGTGTTATTGACGTGTTAAATTCATATGAATGCAAAGTGAATTCAGTGTAAATTTTGATAATCTATATTGAAATTCATAAACATAATGTACAGGACGTAGTACAAACACATACAATATGTCAATTATTTTAAGTTAAAGTCATGCATTGTATTTCACCGTAATAAAAACTATTTAGATAATTTTTTCTTTAATTTTTTTTCACTAAGGCATACAAACATTATACATATAAAATATTGGGCATAAACTCAAATTTTGGTAATTTCGGTTTGGTGAAGTAAAACGCATTTCTTATAGAAAAATTAAACTTTATTCATTTACATATTTTTTTATTTGTTCAATGATATTTTTCTAACTGTGTATTAAATTATTAGATTATAAATCAATATTTTAAATGGAAAGTGCGAAATAAATGGTAATCTGATGGCACCAGGGCAGAAATGTGTGCAGGATGGAATATTACTTACATCCATGGCCTACTAATTTTGTATGAGTTAACTCAGATGTGTAGGGTCTTGCAATATTGTGATAAAACAGTATTTCTTGGTGATTTTTGATGTCTATAGGTTGTTGGCAGTTTATCAAGAATGAAGTTTGGCAATTTTTCTTTGATTACAGTTAATGAGCTGTTGTCAGTTACACATGAACTGATTGATCTGGTTCCTACAAAGCAGCTCAATGTAAAAATTGTGAAGATTTAATATCTTTGTAGTCACCTAACTTACTCCTGCTGTTTGTTTTTTTGTAGTACAGTTGTCAAATTGGTTTTTGCTGTTTTGCGGTTTGTCTTTTTTATAATCTTTTTTATAATCCTATTTTTTATCATCTGTAATGATTGGCTTCAAAAACATATTATGAATGTAATATATTGTTTTGTTGTGTTTTATGTATCTTTTCAATACAAAATACAAATATTGAGGTTCTTTATAAGGAGTCAAAGACGTTTAAGTGATTTTGAATTGTTGTTCAAGTAAACTTCAATTATGGCTTTCATTTGGTTATTATCAATTTCAGTTGTCATCATGGTACGTTGAACATCTTTTAAAAAATCTCCAGAAAGGAATTTTTTAAACAACTTATGAGATTTTCTTCTAAAGCAGTGCAGTAGTCTTCACATATCTTCTTGTAAATCACAAGAGATATTTTTTTTCAGGTAACTAAGAGGTAAAACTTACCATATTTGATTTAGAACAGGATTGAAATTGAATGCAATATAAAAAAATCATAATAATCATAATTTAGTCCTTAAAAGCAATTACATGAGAACCAACCGAAATTACTATTTTGCCAAAACAATAATATGCTTAATGTTTGTGTTTTATTGAATAAATAATGAAGGTTTTGCAAATAACCTGTATTATTCATTAATCAACGTACTTTATATATATATGTATATATATATATTATTTTTCAAAAGTGCAGGATAAACTTTAGTTGTTTAATATCTGAACTGATTGATACAAAATTCTAAAATGCTATCACAAAATAGGAAAATACTTCTGAATGGACATGAAGCCTCATGTATGCCAATTTTGTGGACTTAGCTTTAGTCGTGTTAAAGCTTTAGCTTCCCATGAAAGATTTCATCATGATCACTATGATTCTAATGAGTGTGCTAATTGTAATACGATTTGCCAAAATAAAAGCTCTCTATCTAAGCATTATGGCTACTGCATTGAGAAGGGAATTAAAACGAATAATATAAAAAAAGCTTCAGTGAAGGATTCACCTGTTGTGGACGTCAAAACTGCACAAGGAGGTAAAGTAAAATTCTATATATAACTAAGATATTTGTCATACTTTAGGTTTTTATTGATTTGGAAGCTATTGTACTTCTAATTATTTTACATTACATACATTTCTTGAATATTCTTGCAATAAACCTTTCAATATAACAGATTTCTCTCATTTTGTGGCATAAAGTTGAATGTGGAAATGCATTTACCGAATATTTAATTCAGTTATCACAGAAGTCACATGTATCTTTATTTAGTTTTAGTATTTTGATTTACATTATTTTCCACAATTTATTATAATTTTATCTTAGATGAACATCATTATTATTTAAAGGTATTTATAGATATAACAGTAATACATAAATCTGCCTTTTTTATTTTTAGTTTTACATAAAGAAATGTTTAATTCTGAAATTTGGAATAAATTTGCTATTACGATAAAGCTATGAACCACTAAGTTTCCATAGGAGAAGCTACTGAGAAGTATTAGTGTAAAGAATGCTTGAAAACATAATCAAATCTTCAATTTTACTTTAGTTTGAGCAAGAACTTATCTTTTTAATCGAGAAGACCTTTTTATCTTCAATCGCAATCCTAAATTATTTTTTTATTAATTTTTATAATCTGAAATGACTTTCATGCTATCAGTTTTTCTTTTAAGTTTGTAGAAAGAACTTTCAAAATTCTGCTTTCTCAATTAAAGCCTGATGCATAAGAAAAGTTTTAATTTCAGACCTTAGTACCGACATTTAATTAAAGCCTGATGCAAGGTTTAGATTAAAGAAATATTTAATAAGTTTGGAAAAGTATTATTTTTTATTTTTCTGTGAGAAAATAGTTGCGAGTGTGAATATCTCATATTTATTTCTGTCAAAGCTACTTTTTTTTTAACATACTATAGCAGGAAAACTGAAAATTACTGAGCAAGAAAAGCGCCATGCCTGCACTGATTGTTCAAAATTCTTTGCAACAAAACAAAAAATGCACAGGCACATGTGGGTTCATCGCCGGAAAACATTTGCCTGTGAAGTATGTGAATGCGTCTTTGGACAACAGAATGAACTTGATGAACATCGGTGAGAAAATTTTTAATGATCGATTTATATTTGCTCTCTTATATACAATCAAATTTTTCTTTGACCAAAGATATTAAGAACTTAATTTAGTAATACCTTGCTATATATTTGTCAATTGATATGCATAACGATTCCACCAATATTAATCTTTTGTTTGTTTTTTTGTGATGTCTTATGTGAACCTAATAAATCATATAATTTTCCAACCTTGTTTATAAAGGTAAAACTTTTGAAGTTTGTTGAAGAATATAAAAGAAATGAATAGGTTGTTTTCCTTAGTGGGAAGTAATTCTACTTACATTAGCACCAGCAATGAAACATAAAAGGTATAAAATTAAACATGATAATAAATGAACGATTTTAAATCATATAACTATTTTATGAAACGTGAGGTTTGGTATCAAATTTTCATATTCAACCTATGAATTACAAAAACGAACTATTGTGATGTCCTCGTATTTTTATAATAAGTTTACGAATATAAATAATTTCATATTTGTCAATTTCAATCCAAAATAGTTTACGTTATTTTCTTTACAAGTACTATTTCACGTTTAATTGCTTATCAATTTTGTCTGATATTCCTTTATAAAACAGGAACTTCAAGATATTTGTCTTAGGACTTGTTATGCCTATATTATATTACAACATTTTTATGCAATTATTAATGCGTATATTTAATTATTTATTTGTGTGATTAGCTTGTCGGAGCATTCCGGCGGATCGTCCTATCTTTGCCAGGAATGTGGTAAGACTTTTTCAAGTCGGCAAGGTTTGTGGGAGCATGGAAAAGTGCACAATTCCAGAGGAAGTACTGGACAATTCCATTGTGGAGAGTGCAATAAGAAATTTTCCAGTCGACAGGGATACCTCATACACACTAGGACTCATACAGGGGAGAAGCCTTATTCGTGCAGGTGGAAAACATATTTAATTTCAACGTTAGCTTTTGCTTTAAGTGCATATTTAAATTAACCATTTCGATTAATAAAAGTTGTTCTCAATTACCTGCTCATATTTCAATGACAATAAGTAATTATTTGATATATCAGCTTATGGCTGTTCGGAAGTAACCTAGTATATGTTCTAATATATTTAGTACATATTTCAATGACAATAAGTAATTATTTGATATCTCAGCTTATGGCTGTTCGGAAGTACCTAGTATACGTTGTAATATATTTAGTACATATTATGACTATACCTAACAGTATATTTACTGCTCTCCAGAAGTCCTGATGTTGTGCAGTTGCAATGTTCATTTTCACTTGGAAATATAGATGAAAAATATGTTTCTATTTAAAAGGGGAATCTCTCAAACTATTCTTCCCTGAATCGAATTGGAGTTCACTCAACTCACAGTACTGCTATATATATATATATATATATATATATATATATATATATATATATATATATATATATATATATATATTGAATTCAAAAAGATATTCATAATATAAGTTATTAAATTCACTTGAGATTATATTTGAGATCTTATGTGAAAATTTAATGGATAAAAGTAATAAGACCTGAAAATCAAATATTAAGAATTGTTTCTATCAAGCATTTAACGATTCAGATTTTTGTTTATAAATTATAACTCAATATTTTAAATGATTAGAGAGAAAAGAAATTTTATCCCATTTTTTTTTAAATTATCATAATATTTATGTTATTACATAACATACAGTAAAAACAATAGACCTACTCTCATTATTTTCATTTGAATAAAATAAATTCTCATTATTTTATTTGTATTATTTTTATTCAATTGCAAAATAGTCTTCATCGAACTGTGTAACAAATATATTGAAACACTTCACTATATAAAAGTAGTTCAATATTTAAAATACGTGACTGTTTCAATTAGAATTTTTTTTTATATAAAAAAACTTACCATTTTGAAACTTTTCTCTTCACTAGTCAGTAAAGACACTGTTTTTATTAGTGTTTACATGAGATCTTTTGTAATATAGATTCAAATGCTCTCCAATAATAAAGATTTAATTAAATATAGGCAAAATAATGTCATTGTTTTTATATTAGTCTATTCATACATGAAAGATTTTGAAATTATGATTTTTAACATTCACATTACGTTGAAATGGGGTTGCATAGCTTACACTATTGCGATCTTACTTGATACCCTGTTATTTTTATGATTCTGTAATATTATTTTCGAGGTGAAGAATAAACAGAATTAGACATTTTATAAGCCTTATAGAGATTTCAAGTTGTGTCTGTTGGGAGTAAAATTGTAATTAAAATTAGGCCACAATATGTTCAATGTATTCAAAGGATGTAATAAACATTAGTTTCTTTCGATTCTTCTGCCATAATGCCAGTATATTTGAAAATCATTGGGCGCAATCTTCTTTTTCGATTTACTTGTCGGTCTTGTTTTAAACATTTTTCTATAGTTGCAGATAAAGCTGCTGCTACCCACTGACTCAATTTATGCTTTTGCTTAAAATTATCAAATCGAAATAATCAATTAACCTCTTTTGTATAAATTCCAGATATTGCTGGAAATCATTTCGCGATGGAGGAACTCTAAGAAAACACGAGCGTATACACACCGGCGAGCGACCACATTTGTGTCCAATTTGTGAGCGTGCCTTCAATCAAAAAGTTGTGTTGCGTGAGCATATACGATGGGTGCATGCAGAAAATAAAATAGATTTGAATCCCATTTTTCAGTGTGAATTGTGTGAACAAATTCTTAGGGATCGTGAAGAACTGTGTGCACATATTGTAAGGCACAGTGATCAAATATCTATTAAAAACAAAACAAATATATCAACAACGTTTAGTGCAAACAAAAAGAAATTACATGTGAAAAATTCAAATATGAACAGAGAAAAGAAAAGGGTTACAACACTTGGTGAATCTACTAAATTTACTGAGATTGGCTTGAACTTTTCTTGTGATTTGTGTGGACTATCGTTTAAAAGTAGACAATTATTAAAATCACACATTATTGAGCACTTTTGAAAAATGTTATTCTAAAAATATAATATATGTACTTGTTAAATGTTGTGTGCAATAATCTTACTTTTAACTTATTTGTGATTCAGATTCAGTATTTATTTATATTTGTGTATGACAGAAAAAAATTATATACTTTTTAATCAAAAATTGAAGTTTAGTATTGGTATTTTGCCTTGAGACAAGTTACCTGAACTCTCCGATATGTGTAAATAATCGACTCAATCAATAAAAAATAAATTAATTTATGAGTGATTGAAAACGACCGAACACGTTAATTTGGAGTATTTTCTAAAAGCCAATTTTCAGAAATCAAAAATTTGTATAATTGAACCAGTTTCCATAAGACTTTAATGGTTTAGTATGCTCATTAAGACCAAGTACTCTATTGTTATACCAAGTAAATCCTCTAATTTTAATTTTACCAAATGTCAAAAAAAGTTTTTATTTTCTCAAACTTTGATGAATTTTTAAAATTAAACTACTTGTCGTAAGGCCGTAATATTTCAGTAAGGCCATGATATATATCGCCAAAAAAAGTTCCATAAAAATCGGCTTAAATTTTTTTTTTAACAGTTAACAGAAAGTGGCTCAGTAGATTTTTATCTAAAACTAAAATCAGTATCAACGTATCGTAACGTTCGAACGTATATCAGTTCGAACTAATATCTTTCGAACATTCGATTCGTATTGATAATGAGACGTGCTGATTAGATTTGGCGGAGGTAAGTCTAGCCGTTCCGAAGATACGGGGCAGAAAGTGCCAAAAACGGTAACTCAGTTTATAAGAGAACGGAGCGTTCGATTTTAATAATTCAAAAAACATTTTGCTTGTATTGACAAGATAAAGAATTGATTGAATTTTTAGGAAGGCAGGTCTATCGGTTATGGACTCTCAATAAAAACAAGTTAAAAAATGCCAATTGGCGGTCAAAAATGTTCATGGGACATGTGTACATCGAATTATCAGATATTTTATAGATATTTTAATAATGTATACACGTTTTGTGTAATTTTTGTTGGGCTCCGTACCAAGATTTTCAATTTTAAAATTCATCTTATATGGTTATACGAATGTCCTCGACATTTTCGACAGTATGAAATAACCGATTTGAATAATTAAAAAAAAACATTCGATTCGTATTGATAATGAGACATACTGATTAGTTTTTGGCGGAGGTAAGTCTAGCTGTTCCGAAGATACGGGGCAAAAAGTGCCAAAAACGGTAACTATCAGTTTATAAGAGAACGGAGCGTTCGATTTTAATCATTCAAAAAACATTTTGCTTTTATTGACAAGATAAAGAACTGATTGAATGTTTGGGAAGGCAGGTCTATCGGTTATCTCAATAAAAAAGAGTTAAAAAAAGCCAATTGGTGGTCAAAAATGTTCATAGGACATATGTACATTAGAATTATCAGAAATTTTATAGATATTTTAATAATGTATAGACATTTTGTGTAACTTTTGTTGGGTTTCGTACCAAGTTTTTTAATTGCGGTACAGGAAGTTTCAACAATTTGCCTTAAGGCACGATGCCATGCATCCACTAGTTTTGGTTTGTGTCTAAGCTTTGACTAATAATATGTTTAGTAAGAAAGATGGCACATCTATTAAAGTTATCTACGTCGTCTTTGTTTTTGTTGATTGAAGAAGATCAATTGAACTCGTGCTTGTTCTCGATTTGTAGTTATAGTGCAGTGACCATTTTCTTTTAAATTTGTCGATTTACGTACAATGGCAGAAGCTGATCATGGATATTTCTTAAGCGGCCAATTTAACGACATTAGCGAAAACTTATTAGATCCATTACGAAAATCATTTTGTGATTGCATCGAGAACTTGAATAACCAAAAAGTTGATGTACAGTATCATCAAGAATCGACGCAATTTAAAGGAAAACGTGGCTCGGATGTTTGTCTTAACTTGCAGACAGGATTTGTCGTCCAAACAACTGTTAGTGAGAAAGAATTATTAATTAATATTTGCTACAATGACTATATTCCGTCGCCGAGACAAAACTTTGCAGAGGAGTATGAAAAGCAACGCGAATGGAGTTTGTCATACTTTTTGTCTCAGTTAAAGGACGGTCGAGATGAATTTAGAGAGAGTTATATTTGTGATATTTTATTTCATCCTGCAGTTTCAGAATTAAATCACATTCATCAATGTAACATTGCGTTTAAGTGTTTGGAAAACCATTATAAAATTTATGTAGACAGTACTAGCATTAAATATTTAGATTTGGATTATGTGGGAAATCTTGAAAAAACTTTGTTAAATGATTATATCCAAGGCTGTGTTTATAGTAGAGGCAATAGTGAAAAGATTTATTATCTCAATGAACGCCTACTTATGATTAATGAAACTCCATGCCAACAAGACAAGTCTTGTTCAAAACATCAGTACAGACTGTCGATGCAGGAGCTGCATAAAAAAAATGATAATAATTCAGTGTATTCATTTATGACATTGCGGTTACCATTGCTTCAATGTATCAGCATGGATATTACAGAAAAAACAATTCAGTTATTGTCACAAATACCTTTTGATTGCAACTTAAACATATCACTGCCTTATGCTTTGAAAGAAAGTTGTTCAATTGATGCCATCAATAGCAAACACTTAGTTATAAGTTTATTACTTAATATACATACCTTTAACGATATAATGACTTCTGTTGTGATCACTCATGAAGATAGTGGAGTTGATAGTGACATTGGTAGCCCAGAACATAAATATAATCAAAATAATATGCGTGATAGTAGGAATAATATTATTGAGCCAATGAAAAAGTTCTTTGATTCAAATACAACATACTTATTTCCTAGTTTTAATATTAGTACTTCAGATAATGTTATAATGTTTGCTTTAAATATTAAAAATATTGAAGAAGATAGCCTTACTTATATTTGCGTTAAAAATTATTTATCTATAAAATGTTCAGGAATTGACTGTTCCCGATACGCTTTCATTATGAAAGTTGATTTTGAAATATCAGATATTCAGACTGAAATTTGGGATAATACTGTAACAATTCAGTTCAAAGTGAATGATGCTATGGAAAGTAAAGATTCTTTGATGTGTCCTGTTGTCCCCATATCAAATATTGATTGTGGTAACACTAGCCCGAATTCCCCCAACTATCAGAATAGCATTACTTCTAAAAATTTGAAAAATTTAAACTTGACAAAAAGTAAGTGTAGGCCAAGAAATATTACTCCAAATAAAGTAAGAAGTATTTCAGAAAGTAGTGAAGATACTGCATTACTAATGAAGCGCAATGTAACTATTAAAGGCATTTTAAAATGTTCTTCTATGAGTCGGAGTGTGTCTGAAAGCAGTGTTGATGATCATTTTGGATTTTCAATGTCTTTAGATCATGATTTCAATAGTTCGTTTGAATTCACATCCACTTCATTGGATCCTTGTAAGGAACAAGGTAGCTCTACAGAAGTTATAAACAAAAAAACTGTTAGATTCAAAGACGTTGTTGCCAAACAAATTTTTAGGTATGCATATTTATTTTTAATTGCATTGATTTAATTTTTTGATTTGACAATACCACTAATTTTGAGATGAATGTAAAAATAATTCTTTATTGCTTAACATTAAACACTTCTTGTAAGATCTAACTCGAGCATTCTTGGGCAAAAGAAGAAGAATCAGCGAAAGAATAGAAACAAAAAACGGGCTCATGATCGAAGGATGTCTGAAAGTGAAAACTCAGAATGTGAAGAAAAGGTAAATTAAAATATAATCTTTACTTTTTTTACATATCTTGTTTTATTTTTACATCATACACAACCATGTATGTCTATTCTGTTATTTTGATACTGCTAAATATTATATTATTGTTCAAGGATGTTGCTGAAAACACAAACAAAGGTTCAGATGTGATGCATAATAACATAGAGGAGCTGTCTGCTGATTTAAAAGATATAAGATTGAGTAAAAACAAAGGTACTAATAGCAATTCCTGTAAAAATGACCTTATATTTCCTATTGATATGTAGTTGAACTACCATAACTAATGTTCTAGAATTGATTTATTCTAATAGGTGAAAATTCATTTGATATAGAAAAATATATAGTAGTAATTAAATAGATAATTGCAGTCTAACATTGTCACTATATATTGGTATTTTTCAGTTTATTTTAATTTTATTATTTAACATATGCATCAATAATTATATAGTGAACTAAAATATTCATAATTATTTTCAACTTGATGTATAATGGAAAATTATAAAATCATATTTTAAGTCAAAGTAATCTTCTAACTGCAAAGACTACGGTTATTCAAATATTTTTTTTGCATATTAATCATCTTCCTTATAACATATAAATAAATTTTAATGATAGATAATTTGTTTATATTTGTATGTATTCCACATATAGTATATACAAATATTTCTTAACTTGTGATGACTTATTACAGAATAGTTGAAGCAATCATGATTCTATTCATACAAACTTATTTATTGATGCCTAGTTAAATCACATTTGTGTGAAGTAATTAGTAAAGGCTAGTTTAGAAAACATTTTTAACAAAGTAATTATTTCATTTATTGGCGATTTCTGGATTTTACAATAAGATAATAATTTGGGATTGCAATAAAACATAGTTAATGTGATAAATGTACTGCTAATTATAGTAAAATTATTATGAATAAATTAATAAGTTGGGTTAAAGTACAAATGTATGCCAGACAATATTTGTTAAATAAAATTCATTAATTATGATGCATGTGTAATTATTTAATAAACAATATTCTTATGAAATTATAATATGCTCTATCACGATAATTAATATATATTGATGTTTTCTGTAGAGATTGAATTTTGAAGTTTTTTTTTATGAGCTCATTTTGTTTTCATTTTTATTGTTTTATCTCTCATTAGTTTTATAATATATACCTTTTATTTAGATTTTATTTAATCTATGAATTCGCAATTTATATTTGAGTTTTTTGTTTATAATTTACTTTACTGTTGTTAATGACCTTATTTTAGAGTTGAAGATGATTGCAAAATCAAATAAAATATAAACATATATATATATATATATATATATATATATATATATATATATATATATATATATATATATATATATAATATATATATATATATATATATAATATATAATATATATATATATATACACATACACAAAATTATGCATGTTAATCGGAAAATTCGCTCGCTTTTGTATACATTGTTTTAAATAATAAAATTGTTATCTCTTGCATCGTTATCATTATTGTTATTGATGGGACTTCTAAGTCAAACAAAATAAAAATTCATAGTGCAACGTATTACGTAATAAAAATTCATCTTTAATCTATGGAGCAATATAAAATAGTCATATGAAATTTTCAGTTATATTTGCGTTTACATACTGCGTATTTAAATTTAAAAGCAGTTACGGAACATTGAATTGAACTATGCTATAAATTTGCAAAAATTCGAAAAGTTAAAGAGATATATAATTTAGATCTGAAATAAAACAAAAAATGCGTATGAAATCAAACATTTGATAACAGTAACAGTTTATCTGCGCGATCTTATCAGTGAGTTATTTACGTTAATTACTTGTTGCTTGTTGCGATATTTGCGATCATATATGAAGATGGTTTTAATAAAACATTTCTTTTCTATCAGCGCTCCTATCGGCCTACGAAGCAGTTTAGATATGCAGTTCATAGACCTTTTATTACATGGACTGCTAGTCCCCATACATTTCTCAGGTAAAAAAATGTCAACAGATGTTCTCTTTTGTGAGGGTAAATGTGTCGCCGAGAAAAGTCAAAAACATTTAATATTTCCCGAACATTTCGTTACGGTACGGGAAGTTCCAGCAATTTGCATTAAGGCACGATGCCATACACCACTAGTTACGTTTTGAATGCGCTCGACTAGCAGTCCATGTAATATAAGGTCTATGATGCAGATTCGATAGATATCGATAACCTAGTACGTTCGATGATATCAATATCAATATGTCTCCTTTCCATTTTTATGTGTACATACGTCAAACTTTAAGATATATTTTTATTAATAATTAAGGGATGATTAATTGTGATACTTAAAATCAATTAGCTGACCATCAAGCTGAATATGTGCTTGATGTTTAATTGTCTTTCTCCTGTACTTCTCTAAATCTCTCGTCTTTAGTTTTTTTTCCATATGTGATATTCCAGTCTTTTGATCGAAATGCAAATTCAACAAAGAGAACGACAAATTGATAGGTGCAATATGACAAATACGATTGGAAGGGAAACTATCCATTCTGGACAATTTATGGTATCGCATTTTGAAGCTGAAGAACAAGATGAAGATGAACATTCTGTGGCTGTCCCAGAGCCAACCAATGCAATTGTTGTTGAAAATAATAAATCAAAACATTTGTCTTATATTAAATTGGGGGACAAATCACCGCAAATTGAATCCTCTCTTTCGAAGTTATTTCAATGCATGTCACTTGTCTATAGGTAAGCTGTACAATTAATATAGGAGACCAGTCTGAAATTTATTGTTTATATATTATTTATTATTTTTATTTTTTAATATTTCTTTTTTAGTTTATTTTTTAAGTTTTTATCTGTTTTATTATTTCTATCTTTGTTTCTATTATGTATTTTTCACATAGACCTTCTGTTACATGGACTGCTGGTCGAGCGCATGCTAAATGTAAAAATATGTTCTCTGTTGCGAGGGTAAATGTGCCGCTAAAAAACGTCAAGATAGATTAAATAAATGAATGCTTTGCTACTATTGTTGGAGAACCGGGGAATTCGACATTAATCGATATAAAAAATTGTGGATATCTTTTATAACCTTCAGATGAAATGTTGAATTTATGTTTATATATAGAAAGTATAATTCAAAATTATTCAAATTTAATGTACAAAAATTCATATGACAAAATGATTCTCCGAAAGTTGAATGACTTGGGACTTGCACATTTTTTTAGATCAAGTCATTTCCAGCAATTTGTCCAGCATTATTATGATCTTATCAACTTACAAAAATGTACTTAACAATTAGATTGCACCATGAAGAACATAAAAAAGCAAAGTTGATAAATAGGTGCGCCACTTTCACACGAAAATTGTGTTTTTTAAACACCAATAACACCTATTATAAATAGCCAACTGTATATATAAATATATTACATTTAAAAAAATATTTCATTATTTCTGTCTAATTTCTCATAATAGCTCTAGCCAACTGTTCTTATTTTTAGTGAATTTTATAAATTTTTTTTATTTTTTTCTAATTTTCCTTAAACACATTGTATAACTTAAATAAATAAATAAATAGTTCATTACATTCATTAGTTCAACATAAATTGTATTTACTATATAATATTTTCCTAACAATTTCACGCACGGACTTTCATTTGACGTTTAAGGAATCGAGAGCATTCAACTATTCTCGGCAACGCTCGTGTTCGTATGCATTTATTTAATCATGATGTTTCTCGGCGGCACATTTAGCCTCGCAACAGAGAACATCCTTTGATATTTTTTTACCTGAGAAATGTATGGGGACTAGCAGTTCATATAATATAAGGTCTATGATTTTTTAGTATGAATCAAATTACTTGAAGCAAATGCTACATTATTTAAAAACATTTTTAAATTATCATTATTAAAATTTATTCTATTTTATTCACAATCTGAAAAAGTGTATCCAGATAATCTGCTTATAAGATGGTACTTTTAAACATGGGTTTGCTATAACACTGTTTGAGAATTGAACAAAACTCCAATTAAACTAGGTGTATGTGTCATTTTAAGGCAAATTGCATGAACTTCCCAGTATGTTTATATAATCGACTTTATTAATAAAAATTGAGATTTAGCTATTTAGATGAAATTTTCAATGATTAATGTTCAAAACATTACTTTCGCTACTATTAAAAACTAACCCAATTTACAATTAATATATTAAAGACCTATAATGTGTGTAACTGTTTTAATTATGGTGCACAAATTTGTGTGCTTGTATGCCTTGTATGAGCGCAGCCCATTATTCTAAATTTTATGAATTTTTATAATTCAACTACATTTCATAGGTCTATAATTGTTTAGCATGATATTTAACTATAATTACTTGAACTATATTGCTATGAAAAGTATAAAAAAACTCATAATTCTCTACGAGAGTCAAATTTTGACCCGCATACACACACAGTCATGCAACCACATACTTTTCCCAGCTTTAGTTTAGTGTCAGATGTGTTTTGAAACTTGTTGGTATTGATATTTTGCCTTGAAGCGTATTTTCTGAAAGCAAATATTCACAAATCAATAATTTTTATAATTGAACCAGTTTCCATAGGGCTTAAATGGTTTAGTGTGTTCATTAAGACCAACTACTCTATCGTTATACCAAGTAAATCGTCTAATTTTAGTTTTAACAAACCTCAAAAAAACTACTCATTTTCTCAAACTGTGATGAATTTTTAAAATTAAACTACTTGTAGTAAGGCCGTAATATTTCAGTAAGTTCTATAAGACCATGATATATATCGCCAAAAAAGTTCCATAAAAATCGGCTAAAAAATTTTTCAACAGTTAATCACAAGATTTTTACCTAAAACTAATCAGTATCATTCCCAACCAATATCTTTCGAACAGTTTTTGATTTTTTAAAATCGATTCGGTAGTATGAGCTTAAATGTGGACCAAAAGTTTAACACTTTTTCTTTTTCTGCTATTACGAACGGCTTGGCCGATCGTCGCACAAAACTGACAAACAATAGTCCTCATCGAGATCGAATGGCTTTTAAATTTTTAAGATCGGTCCAGCCGTTTTTGAGAAAACGTCGATTTACGGCAAAAAATCTGTTCACACACACACACACATACTTCTTCCAAATTTTGTCTCATTCGATTCAGAATGGCTTGAAACGTCGAGAAGACATAAAATTAGCGAATCGGATTATTTATGAAAACAAACTCTCCTTCGGGAAGTTAAATATAAAATTAGCAAATCGAATTTTCTGATGAAAATTCCTTCGGGAAGTTAAATTAATATTTCATGTAAATAAAATAGTTTTTTTTTGTCAAAATATATAAAATACATTGTAAAACTTTTTGTTAGTTTTGTGACAACACTAGTTGGCTATGAGTGCGGAGTTGGCTTGAAAAATGAAACTAGTGCTGCATGGTATAGTGTCTAAAGCCCAATTGCTGGAACCTCCCGTACCACAATGAAATATTCAAAGAATTTTAAATGTTTACAAATAGATTATTAAAAATACTGTTATTTTCATTATTTGTGTTTTGCAGACAAAAGCTTTTGTTGCTTATAAATTGGACGATAATGTTTATATATGTTTACATAAAAAGATAATAAAACAAATCTTAATCAACCGGAATTAAAATTAAGGACCTTATCTAATATTTATAGAGTTATATAAAGTGAATTGCAAAGTTAGAATCAATTATTAACTTCCCGTAGGGCAAGTTATAGTAATCGCAAAAAAATCGAAAATGAAAATTTTTATATATCTTTACGTTTCAGAGGTTTCTGAACATTTTGGCATACCTTAGAAAAAATGGATGTATGTGTGTGTGTGTGTGTATGTATGTATGTATGTACGTGTGTGTATGTATGTGCGGATACAAATTTTCGTCGACGATTTCGGGAACACGGATCAACCGATTTGAATAATTCAAAAAGCATTCGATTCGTATTGATAAGGAAACGTGCTGATTAGTTTTTGGCGAAGGCAGGTCGAGCCGTTCCAAAGATACGGGGCAAAAAGTGCCGAAAACGGTAACTCAGTTTTTAAGAGAACGGACAAGTGACTTGTATTGACAAGATGAAGAATTGATCAAATTTTCATGAGGGCAGGTCTAACGGTTTCGGAGATGTAACGAAAAAAGTAAAAAAAAACGCCATTTGGCGGTCAAAAGTGATCATTAGTCATATGCACATCAAATTATCAGATATTTTATAGAGATTTTAACAATAAGTATAAATTAGTTCATAGTTCAGATCTTCCAAGATATGCCAAAATAAAAAAACATTATTTTTTCAAAAAAAAAATTAAAAAAAAAAAATTAAAATTTTTTTTTTTTAATTTTTTTTTTCAAAAAAAAGTAATTTTTTGTCCAATTTATAGTTTCTCAAAAATCTTATTTTTTTGTGGTAATTTTTTTTTTTAAATGTCAATCGTTTTTAAAAAAATAATAATTTTTGGTACGGGAAGTTCCAGCAATTTGCCTTAAGGCACGATGCCTTAATTGCCTTAAGACAGAATTCCACTTACAGATGTAAAATGTAAGATACTAAAAATTCAAAACTTGCCATTAATGGCAAAAAATTCATTACTTTTAGCTCCGTATCTGACGGTTTGATCTGTCCTTGCCAAAATCTAATCATCGCGTTTTTCTATCAATAGGAATCGATTGCTTTTTGAATAATTCCAATCGGTTGATCCGTACGTACGAAATCGTCGACGAAAAATTGTCTAAACATACACACCCAAACATCTATTTTTTCTAAGGTATTCCAAAATATTCAGAAACTTCTGAAATATAAAGATACGCAAACATTTTCATTTGCGATTTTTCGACGATTACGCTACCAGAATAACTTACCCTACCAGAAGTTAATAGGATACCTGTTATGACATTTCAGAATTTGTTTTAATACATTTTTTTTTCTTTTTTTATTAAGTTTAGTTTCTATAAAAAAATATAAATTATTAAAGGCTTGAAAAATGACGTGGAAAATTCGACCTTGAAAATTTTATTCAACTTTGGTAAATTTTAACGTAAAGAATTGTTCAACAAAAATGTAGATAAAACTAATATATTTTTGCAAACGAACATGTAATAGCTATAGTGTTTGAGGCCCATGTGGAACTTATTTTTATTTACATTACAGCAAGGGCGAGCAACCTTTTTAATCCACGGGCCAATTTCAATTTTTAAATTTCATTTTTTAAATATAGTATATATATATATACTAGCTGACCCGGCGAACGTCTTGCCTCGGGAAATATTTTTAGAAAATCATTAGTATAAAAAATGGCTAACTAATTCTGAATGTACAAATATGTAGTATAAAAATGAAAGGGGCAGCTAACACAAAAATACATTGATAATTTAGCCAATGCAACGCTAAAATACTAACATCCATATTTGTATTATGTTATGCTATGCTTAGCGAAACGAGTGAGATTTCAATAACTTAAAAAAAATTTAACTTTTTTTAAAACAGTTTTATCTTCAGATTTTAATATTAAATTTCTAAATTTTTTTTGCTAAACTTGCTTCTTCTGCAAGACATTCAAAAACTATATACTTCTTATGCACATCGTGAAATATTTGTACAAAAGGATAACACTGCGAATCAGTTAGTTTTATCGGAGGTAACCATTTCGTTGCCAATATCTATGAATTGTTTTTAAAATTTTGCAATAAATAGATCGGATAAATTTAAGCTTTTCTATAAGCTCAGAAAAATGTTGATCGAATTTCAATTAAAAACGTTCACAAAAACAAGAAAAGAACAAATATACAAAAATGAAAAAGTATATATTTTATATAATTACGAGTGTATATTATAAGTGTATATAAATATTAATACAAATAATAGTTAAACAGAAAAACTAATTTACTTGAAAACTCTAATGAGATATTTGCCACTGCTTTTTTATATATGCTTAAAATCAGCCGTTTTTTAAATCTTTTTCTTCGTGTTTTGAATGCGGAAAGTAGCAACACGTGTGCAGCTTTGATATGTTTCACTCAATTTTGATCGGTGGAATTTTTTTATGAATTTTATAGTTAAAATTATCAAAGGATCCACAAAAAAGTTGTCTGGATTAGGTGTGTGACGTATGTTTTCTCATGTACCTTTTACCGCTGAAGATAAATCTGTAGCCAAAATTGGGACGCAAAATATTTAAAAACTGGTATAATACTCAATCTATAAATTTTCCTAAATGAATTAATTATTTTCCAGCAACTTTTCTTTTGTGGACCTGTGTAATTATTTGCACACATACGTACTTTCAAAAAAATAATTTATCATATTTTTGTTTGTTTTTTTTCAAAGCAAATATTTCTCGGAGCTGACATGAGTTTTATAAAAAAATTCGATGTTTACAGAAAAGATACATTTTTTAATCTGTATAATTTTGTATACTGATCATTTTCTGTGATGGTTTTCATAAAGTGTACCTACATCGATGTTAAATGGCAAAGAAAACAGCTGTACTGCTAGCGTTGAACATTTGGAATCACAATTAAAATTTGTTCGCGGGCCGCGGATTGCTCATCCTTGCATTACAGCATACACATCTTTGGATATAAGATACCAATTTCAATATCCACTGATGATGACATTAAAATGTATGTCAAAACTTTTGAGAATTAAAGATTAATTTATAAATCTTTATTTTGTTAACTTCCCGTAGGGTAAGTTATAGTAATCGCAAAAAAATCTAAAATGAAAATTTAAAATACCTTTAAAAAAAATGAATGTATGTGCGGATACAATTTTTTGTCGACGATTTCGAGAGCACGGATTAACCGATTTGAATAATTAAAAAAACATTAGATTTCTATTTATAAGGAACTTGGCAAAAGGTTTCGAAGATACCGGGCAAAATGTGCCAAGAATTTTAATTAAATTTTTAAGAGAACGGAGCGTCCGATTGCAATAATCAAAAAAAAAAATCATTTTTTCAAATGATGTAGTCAAATTTTTGGTGAGGCACATCAAATTTTAATAAGTACTAATTTTGATTACATTTAAGTGGGTTCAGTATAGAGGTGGGTCGTTGACGGTTTTGCCGTCAACGAAACGAAACGGTTATCGGGGTTTCGTCAACTAGTTAAATAACTAGTTATTTTTCAACTATAGTTATTTTTAACGATTCAACGCTGGCAACGTTAAGAAACTGATAGTTGAAATAACTGTTTCATTGAAAGTTGGTAATATGAAGTTTGTTCTTATAAAAGTCAAGTTGACGTTGGATTTGATGAATAAAAAGAAATAAATGTGAATTGTCACATTTATTACACACACACACACACACACACACATATATATATATATAGATATATATATATATATATATATATATATATATATATATATAATATATATATATATATATATATATATATAAATAAAGGTTTAATTTAAAAAACTTAAATGTTTTCATTACAGCAAACCCATATACTAAAACATCGAATTTACATGTTATATAAAAATAACAATATAAAAATGTATAGTTATATAAAATGTTATGAAAAAAAAATCAATTTTCAGGTTTAGTTTAAAAAAATTATTACAAGACAAATGCTATGAGATTTTTATGAAAAATATTAACCATTGAAAACTATAATAAATGTAACTGATTTTCTAAAATTTGGCGCGTGTTGCAAGTTTCTTTTAAGATGTACATGTACATTTGCAATATTATAAAAGCAGTAGCCTTACAATAAGCGATTTTCATAGTATTAGTTGATCCTTTCCGACGCAGGTACCTGCCTAAGTGCCTACGTTCGTTTTCGACAACGAACGAATTCCTATATCGTTGAAAAAACTAACTGGCCGCCATGTTTTCAACTGCTTCGAAACCAGTTGATTTTCAACTAGTTATTTCGTTGCGACGAAACGGTTAGTTTGTTAACGAAGAAGAAACGGTTGAAAATAACCGTTCGTTGATTCAACGCCCATCACTAGTTCAGTACCAAGATATATAATGTTTAATCGTTAGACACGTGGCGCTTACGCGCTTCGATATTTCATCTTTAAACAGATATGCGCCTTGATTGTTTTGAAAAAATTAAATCTGAATTTTCAAAAAAAAAATGTTTTTTTATTGTCCATTTTTTCAAAAATTGATTTAGTAGTAATATCTCATATTAGCCTTGGAGACCATAGCTATTACATTCTTCTATGCAAAAATACTTTTTTCTACATTTTTGTGAAACAAAACTATTATTATTTTTTCTTGTTACAAAGAATTCATGATCATTGGCTGGTTAGTTGTATCAATGTTAGTGCAAAATTTGTGCTGTGTACACATTTTTAGATGTAAAATACCAAGTTCAATATCCACTGATGATGACATCAAATTGTATGTCGAAACATTGAGTATTAAAGATTATTTTATAAATCTTTGTCCTTTCTTTGGTTTATTTATCGCCCTTAAAGAACTCTTTGTATAATATGTATATATATATATATATATATATATATATATATATATAAATTTTTGCTAATGAGAATTTTACTTACAGGCAAAAATTGACATCACCAAAATGGAATCGATTCAAAGGCATTAGGCTACGTTGGAAGGACAAAATTCGATTGAATAATGTAATATGGCGGTGCTGGCATATGCAATGTGAGTTCTTAGTTTTATAGCTGACTTATTTTTTTGAATTTATATTATATCCTATGAACATAGAGGAATAGCAAATTATTATTTTTTTAAAAAAGTTTATACATTTGTTCTTCAATTTTTTTTTTGTTGCAGTTATCATGAAACAAAATAGTTTGGTTTGCCAATTTGCATCGCCTTTAGATGTTGACACTCACAATAAGCCAGAGGTATGCATTTTTTATCAATTTTATTGCATATAAATATAGTATTTAATTGAACATAAATATAGTATACTCATAAATTAAAATTAACTGCTTATATTAATATATTATAGAATTTTGTGATATGAGTAATTCATGGTAAATAATTATTCTTTAGGCTGTTGTATTAGAAGGAAAATATTGGAAGAGAAAATTGGCAGCCGTTACAGCAGAATACAAAAAATGGAGAATGTTTTCACGTAGTAGAGTTGCGGGTAGTAGAGATAATTCAGATGTAAGTAATATGCACATATGCAACTAAAAAATTACATCTTTAGCAATAAATCATTTGCTTCTTTTTTGCAGTTGCCTGACATTGAATTTATGGAATGGGGTTTGCCACCTATGATGGTTGATGATGATTATATGCAGTTAATGAGTGATACATTATTTTCTACTATTAGCAATCAGGCATTTGCATTTCCAGATTCTAGGGAAATTGGTGAGCCTACGATTTTTTAAAAAAATAGTTTGATTAGTAAAAGTTAACTGGGTTGTTTAATTTGGACACCATAGAATAAATATACTATAATATAAATTAACAAAAAAATTATTGTTTGTCATAAATTAATAACTATGATATTTATGTTTTCACAGCTCGAGGAGCAGGTCTCGCTGATTTTATTCAGCCTAGCTTAGGCCCCTTACAGCCGAACTTAGAGGATTATGTAGATACATTGCAGCCTTTACAAGGTATAAATTTGAACATCATATAATTGAAGTTAAAAGTTATAAATATGTTCAATCATATTTATTATTGATTTTTTTGGGCAATCTTATGTCAATAGTAGCTTTATATTTTAGATCTTTTGTGTACAAAATTGACACCAGTTCCGGAAGAAGTTTCTATGGATACTAGTAACACAAGTATATTTTAAAATAATGTTTGTTAAACTTTACAATTATGATAAATAGAGAATTATTTTCTTTAAATAGGTACTGTACCATCCAATATGTTCATGAATAATTATCAAAATATGGAATCTATAAATTACAATATACCAAACTATGCTGTAAATGTTCCTGTTCAAAATAGACCATCTTCAAGTCACACAAAGCTACCTCATAATGAGTAATATTTATTTATTTTTATTTTTCTATTCACCAATTAATTTAGTTTATTCTAATGCTTTTATCATTTTTATATTTTCAAATTGAAGCAAATTTTTTAAGTGTTCATATATATATATATATATATATATATATATATACAGTGGTACCCTGCCTCACGAGCGACTAGACATACGTCTTTTTTGAGATACAAGGTTCGTTTGCTTCATCATACATGTAAAATTTGGTATACATGCTAGTGAGAGGCGTAATATAAACTTATGGCAGTTCGAATGAAACAGATTCATCTAATATCAATTTTTACAAGGATTTTCTTGTGTGAAGTTGCATTTAAGTATCATACAAATATTAAAAGTAAATTATTTTGAAGTTGAAAAATTCAATTCGTTAATTTTAATGTTACGCATTTGTTTGTACAATGTGGGGCAAAGGTAAAAAATTTGTAGTTAAAAATTATCCCAAAAAAGATGCAGTTGGTCGAGCATCAAAGTTGTTTGACGAGACATGTCCAACTCATTTTTGCAATACTATAATGAGTTAAAGAAAAAATAATTCTCATTGTATAGTATTTTTAAACTCAAAAACTAATATAATGATAATTTGGTAATTTTTTATTTAGTATTTTCCTATGTTTTTGCAGAATATGTGTTTGATCTTAGCAATAAATGTTTCATTTATTTTTAATATTAATAAAAACACTGCTGGAACGAATTATAAAAATAAATAAAATTGCTTCGAGATACGAACAATTCGACAAGCAAGCATGTTCACGGAACGAATAAAGCATGTAAGGCAGGGTACCGCTGTATATATATGTATATATATATAAAGAACAAGAATATATATTTTACTAAATAACTAATGAATTTTTGGTGTGTTAGAACATTATTCATTCATAAATAATTGCATAATACATTTTAAATTTCTAGGGTACTAAGAGATACTAATTCATTCACAACAATGAATTATATGTACAATACAAGTGTATCAAACCTACAAAATCAGACTATGATACCTGTGCAGCTGGAACAAATGCATTTTATTAATTCTGATGCAAATATGAATTTAGAAACTGTTAATAATGTTGTACCTGCTATTTCTATGACAAATTTAAGCAATATGACCATGAACAATCAGCTGACGCAAAACAATGTAGTGCCTAATTTAAGTCAAAATTTAAATTTTAATTCTAGGAATAATTTACAAAAGATCGCACCAAACCCACTAGGTAAAAATATATTTATTTTGTAATTGTAATAAAATCTTTTTTAAAACTGGTTTAACTGGTTTAAATATTAACTATTTTAGTGACTGTTATTATAAAATACAAAAGTTTTGAATTCATTGAATAATATATTGTGTGATGATGAATTATTTAATATTCATCTAATTGTTCATTTAATGAAATTTTGTCATGTCATGCTCAAAGCCATTTAATACTGAAAATTTTGTATAATTTATGCATTAATATTTCAGATGCAAAGGAATGCTTGCCCAAATCAAAAAACTTGTCTGGCCAGCAAATGAACAATATGGATTTGAACAAATCTCGACTGTGCAATTCACAAATGAATTTATCTTTTTATGGAAATAATCAACAAAATCTAATGGTTTTAAATAATAATACTAATGAGCACAAAAGGGCCAGTGATAAAAAGGTAAATTTTTCAGTACAAGATAATTTAATGTAAGTAGGAAATTGCTATGTATTTGTGCTTATATACACTATAATGCTGACATTTATTTACTTTTTAAGTTTCAAATGAATTATCTTTTACTATGAGTATTAATGAATAATGTTTTTAAATTATTTTATGAAAGAAAAAATAAAGTAAATTTATTCAAGAGTTACAAATTATAAATGTCTAGCATGTTTGAGGTATTTATCATCAAAATTAAGCATTTATAATGAACATATTTTTAATTTTTTTTTCATGTTTTTACTAGTTTGTTGATACTATGTTTAGATTCAACACTCAAGTATAGTTTTATTTAATTATAATTCTGGTATTTTTATCTTTATTTAAATGATTTTTACTTTATATTTTGTTTATTGTGCTTCTATTCAATTTTTTATTTTGCACCATTATTTGGTTTCAAAAGATGTTTATTGATTAAGAGTATTTCCTTGATTAATATAAAGAATGTAATGTTTTATATAGCTAAATTTTATAAAGGATTTTATAAAGCATTTTGTACATTGTGCATTTATTTTTATGCAAATATTTGAATTTTTTTCTATTAGGTAGTGTTTATTAGTTTTATTTAGGTCATATCTCTGGTTAATACATAATTTTTTGTAATCCATTACACAAGGGCTGTTTAAACTTTTGTCCTTTGCGACCCCATTTATGATTGTGAGTTTCTTGACGGCTCCATTTATGGTTGTGAGTTTTTTGACGATTCCATTTATGATTGCGAGTTTCTTGACAATCCCACACATATAAAAAAAAATCATATTTTTTGGTGAATTATTTATTTAGTAACAATATACATATTCAGATATATAGCTTTAGAATTCTCTGTAAAACATGCAAAAACCTAGACGTGGTGTTATAAATTGATATAAATATTTGACATTTTAAAAACTCCCGCGACTACAGAATTTTTATACGCCGCGACCCATAGTGCAAGAAGCCCTGCATTACATAATACTGCTTACACTTTATTTTTTCAATACAGGGTAAAGAGATGTATAGAAGTAACAGCCTTCCATTAAATAGCACATTGAATTTACAAGAAGAGATGTTTCTAATTCCAAAGGCTAATATACATAAGAGATCTGCACCACAGCATGCCAGCTCTGAACAATTGCCACAGCACTTACATTCATCAAATGATTCATTGAATCAAAATGCTTTGCTTGCTCGTCTTCTGACAAATACCAAAACATCTACAATTTCATGTATCAACTCCAGTAATAATATTCAACCATGTTCAGTTCGATTTACAGATAATGTGATGCAAAATAGTTCTATACAGCCAAATAATCAGGTAAAATCATTTTACATTTTTTGGTACGTGCAATTTGGAAATAAATAATTTATCATTATTATTTATAAGCAAAATTTTAAATATTAATATATTAAATTGCTGAAAAATTAACATATTTCAAACCTATAATGCATTTTCTTGACATGAGCTAAATTTAATCCTGTTTTTGAGGTATTGTCTAACAAGGAGAATTTTATTTTTTAAATTTTATTTTATTTTTATCATTTACTTGTATTACCGATGTAACATTTACTGACACTCAATTTTTCACTACACATACGTACTGATATAACATGAACGAAAAGAGAAATAAAATACTGTGAGAATGTTTGAACTTTTAATAAGTGTTATATTTATATAAGGTCTCAACTTTATGAACAGAGCTGCATTTATATGCCAAATATTAATTAGTTTTTACAATTAAACCAATTTCTGTAGGCTTTCTGTAACTAGTAGTTGTTTTGACCAACAACTCTACCATCCTAAGTTTTATTACTTAAAATCCAAGGTTTTTGTTATATATTTTTAAAATAAAAAATTTAATCCTAATATTATTTTAGATGTTTCCACCATCGCCTGAATCATCTTCTTCAATGAGTTTGGGTGAACCATTAAGTCCAGTACTTTCTATGCAACAAAGAGGCCAGCCTCGAGAAATGAAGAGAACTGGTCATATACATGCAGAACAAAAGCGCAGGTACAATTTATATATTTTATTATTCAATATATTAAATTGTTTATATATATATATATATATATATATTTAATATTTATCGTATATATAGATATTTTAATTTATTGTGTATATTTTTTTCAAGTATAAATGTATAATAAATTAGTATGTATAAACATTTTGAGTGCATAAACTCATTTTAATTGTACATTTCAGATACAACATTAAAAATGGTTTTGATGTATTGCATTCACTTATACCTCAGTTGAAACAAAATCCTTCAAATAAGGTGAGCTAAAAATAAACACTATGAATGTTACAACTATTCTGGTGAAAAACCTATATTAGTATTAAAAATGATTTTTATTTTTCTTAGTTGAGTAAAGCTGCAATGTTACAAAAAGGTGCTGAATATATAAAACAACTTCAAATTGAAAGAAAACTTTTGGAAGATGAAATAATATCCTTGAAGAATCAAGCTGAGTCACTAAATACTTCAATCAGGTAATAAATTATAAATTATGAATTAGATTAATATAAGTTGCTATTTGCATGTCATTTTTTGTATGAAATATTTTAATTTTTTTATACTGTAATATGTAGATCTGATTGATTTTGTGAGAACATGCATTTTGATATATTTTACTTTGTATAAAATAAATTTGCAAAATATTTGCCACAGACAAATTTAAATTTATTTTTTAAATTACATATATAAAAACTGTTATCATATCATTAATAGTTGTATACAAAGAAATTTATCATTATATAATGTTATAAATTGATTTAAAGTAACTGCCAGTCAATGCTGCCAGCTACTGGTGCTCCAGTTTCACGTCAAAGAACAAGCAGAATACGAGAAATGTTTAGAGAGTATATATACACACGTACATTAGAAGATTGGAAATTTTGGGTTGTATCCTTTACATAAGAGTATATAGTATACATTTTGTAAGGAAAACATTTTACTTTATTTAAAATATGTTTTGCAAAGAAGTCAATAGCTGAAAAATGGTATCAATAGTATTGACTACTACTTAAATAATTATTGGCTTGATTCGAATCAAAATGATTGAAATCATACAAAATATGCCACATGTTGAAACAAATCTTATCTCAAATCAAAATGATTCATTATTTTATGTATATATGGATATTATAATACATTCAGTTGTAAATCCTTAACATTTCTAACAGTTTTCTTTATTGATTGAGCCGTTATTACTAACATTTAACTCTTCTGTATCAATAACAAATATGCAAGAACTTACTAGGACTACAGTACAATGGGTTGATCAGCATTGTTCTTTGGTTGATTTGAGGCCAGGTATCTAAATTATCATATAGAAGAACAGTATTCATATATTATTAAGAATTTTTTGCATGGATTTACAGTCATTAATTATTTTCTATTAAATATTATTTTTTACATTATTTTTATTGGTTACCATTTATGTACTAATATTATTACATATTCTTTGATTTGTTTAGTTTTGTGTAATATTCAAAATAATTCTTTAAGTATTATAAATTGTGTTTTACTAAGAAATTAAAACGCGCCCGTATCATGTCTTGGAATCCAAACTTACATTGACACTTATTTGACTTCATTTTATGTAAGTTTTTGAATTTGAGTTTTGAGTACTGCTTATTAATCATTATTTTCATAATTATAGGAGTATTGAATGCTTTAAGATTACTCTGCACAACAACAGATATATTATCACAACCTGA